AGGACAGTCACATGACATGTGACCTTGACCTCCACAAGTCCAACAAACGAGTGGCTGTGAGTGGTCTAGTGAGGACCACTGTCTCTGATTGCTGTTACAACCACCCCTCTGGAGATTAAACTTCCCTCTGTAGCTACCCTGCTGGTGATAAACAGCTTCCTCCTCAGATTCATCTTTTTTCCACACACACTTACACATACACAACTGAACACACCATCTCAGAATTTTAGTTTCCTTTTTCCAGTACCTCTAGATTCATACTGTCTCATACATGCACAGACAGACAGAGAAACAGACAGACAGAGCCGGCTTAAAACTTCAGAATTGCAGCCACACAATCATACTTAGAACAGAATCTGCAGGATTCACACACTCAAAAACCCAGATATGCACACACACCGATGCTCAGAACTGCAGTTGAGCCTTACACACACTCAACATTCCTTGAAGTCCTGAGGCATGCATACCACAGAAACACAATGAGTCATCAGACAGCCGGGGTTTTTCCTGTTACACAGACCACAGAACGACAAGGGGTGAATTTAGAACGGTTTGGTTTCCTTTAGCCAATTATATCGATGATTAACTTGGGTACCTTTCTGCACCATGAAATATTTAACAATACAATCGTCAGTGAGTTTTACATAGTGATTGCACATCCAACCCTATTACGACCCAACCCATCTCTCTCATTCTCTATTCGCTGTGGGGTGCCTGTGTACGCTTGCACCAACTGGATTACAACCTCCCTCGCATTCCTCTTCTCTCAAATTACTATCCGCTTTAATGTGGCTACACATCACTCTCATTGCAGTGCCACATGCAGGTTGCCATCCTTCCTGTCGGCAGCTGAGACCGTGTGTGTCTATGCCAACTGCGGTTGGCCGCTTTAACGCAGCGCTGGTTTACCTGAGGCAAACGGAGTCCAGGATAAAGTTCGGCAGCTCTCAATTTAGCCATCAGCCGAGGCCCGAAACGTCTTTCGAGCGTGGATGGCAAAAAAATCACTACCAGCGTAAACCACACTGACAATTAGTTATAAAATTAAAGGGTGCAACTTAATTTAGGTACTCACTTGGCATTCCTCGTCCCGGTAGAGCGAGAGCCGTAGGTGGAAGCTCGCCTGCGGAGCAGCCGGCCGGAGAACAATTCAGCTGACCGGACTTTGATGAGGAAGTGGCCATGCAGCTCCCCGAAGGCGATCCCCCACCGGAGGGCATCTGCTATCCCGGGTTTCGGCACCATTAAGTGTTAGATATTTTATAAGCGCCACCTGAAATAACACACCTTACACAATTAGAAACAGAGGGGAGAGAGAGAAGGCCCAAACCCCCTCCAGAGTTTGCCATCGTCTCTCTCCCATATTACCTTTCCTCTTTTAAAGTCAAAGCACATATAGATAATTTGGTAAATTGTAACAAACCTCAAAATACATGACAAAGCTCCCTTTGCAATGGGTGAGGGAAAGGCACAGAGACACACTGAAGTCAGAAGCCATGATTCCTCTCACAAAGAGCCGAAGCTTGTGGAGAGCTTTTATTTGAGCATACACACCCACAAATAGAGTGAAACCCCTGTCTGACCAGTTTGCTTCAACTAATGGAAAAACACCTCGAGCCGAAAGGAGTTTTCTGAAAACACCCAAATGTAAAAACAAGTAACTAGGTCAGGGTTTTTCCTAACACATTTAAGCAGCAAGGGTGAGTGAACTCTGCTTGATAGGTTTTTCCTAACAAATCCCTGTTTAAGGGTGAGGTAACTCTTCACATAGACAAAGGAAAAGATTTCACAACAAAGATGAACAATTAAAAAATACCTATCATGTTCTGTATGTGCTTTCACCTGTGATTCACATGAGTTTTCATATGCGTTCTCCATGTCTTTTCTTTTTGTTTTGCACTTGTGTTTATCACATGTTTTTTATATGTGAAATACATAGAAAAAACACGGGACTTATGTTTGATTCTTCACATCTGAAACTGGTGGCTGATTCACATGTGTACCACAAGTGTAAACATATTGGCACATGTTTTGCACATGGGATCACATGTTATCTCGTGTGAAAAACGTGTTTTTCCCCTAAGGGCTGCTATCAACATACTGGTACAAAGATATCATGTTCCTTTTTTTTATTTATTTATTTGTTGCTTTTTTTTATTTTTGCTTGTTGGTTATTTATTATTGTTTCTTCTGTCTCCAATTATGTTACTTCTATTTTATTTGTGTCCCTCGGGTATGCCACAATGCTACTCAGTGCATGATACAGCATGTGTAATGAAGACAATTCTATATGTGATTTATGTGAAACAAATAAAAATTAAGTTAAAATAAATAAATAATTACCATGAAATACATATAAATGTTTTTTTTATTAATTTGTATTGAAAAATTTTATGCAAGTAACTTGTATAAGCACAAATATTATATAAGGAAACGGAGACTTTGGAGTCAGATCAAACTGTAAAAATGTCTTTACCTTACTAGTCAAAATAAGAACTATGACCAAGTGTGTGTGTGTGTGTGTGTGTGTGTGTGTGTGTGTGTGTGTGTGTGTGTAAAATTTTCCATTCAGTGAATGGGGAGATTACAGTGTGATAAACAATGGCGTTGCAAAAGTTCGCAAAAAACGCCGCACAAGTGGTACTCAAAAATATTTGACAAGGTTGGCAGGTCTGCTGCTGCATTAGCAGACAAAGATGTTTTACTTCATCCTCACTCCACGAAGGACCGTTTAGATCTTCGTGGTGATAGAAGTGGCAACCGTTGGATGGACCAGCCTGGTGACCATCACAGGAAGTGTGGGAATCATGGCTTGGTGTTCATGTCAAATGACCTAGCTGACCTAGCCGGGGGGCAAAGTTTGGGCTGGTGGTTCTCCATTTCCTGTCGTAAACTCTTCTCCCTCTTGTGTAGAAGCTGAGAGTGCACGGTCACTGGTGGGCCATCCTGTCTGTAGTCACCGTCGTCATAAAACTCCACGAGGTTACTCAGCTGCTCTTCTACAACAACCACAAATGGAAGCTAGGGCTGCAAGGATTAACTGGTTTGACCATTAACCGCAGTGTGAAACGCTGCGGTTAACCCACCGTAAAGACGTCTCCAACACCGCAAATAAAAAAACATTAGTGGACCAAAGCCAAGTGAAACCTAACCAGCATCAACAACACCGGGACCGCTCCGTTTCAGCCTAGGAAGTCCTCGAGTCTCCTGTGTGGGATAGTTTAGACTCCAAAGCTGCAGATCTGGCAGATAAAAAGTTGTGACACTCCCAACTTGTTATCATCTCTCACATCATCACGCAGCCAGATTAGCTCCACTTGACTCAGATTACGTTTATTATGAACATATTTAACAGTAATATTAGAACAATCCAGAAAACTACAGTTCATATTGTGTTCTTCTACGTTTCCCCGTACCTGTCTACAACAAACTGTACGACAAGCCATTTTAAATATTTAATCAACAACATCTCTCTGTAATTCCTTTTCTACAAATCACTGACATAATTTATCTTTGTCCAAATCTAATTCTTACTGAAAAAATCAGAAAAAAACACAAACAAGTAGAAATTACATTAAAGTAATCAATAATATTCATAATAACTGCACTAGCAGGAGTTTAGCATCTTAACTCATGAAGGAGTCTCCATCCTTCAGTGCTAACCCTGACCAGCTGTCAGCTAAACCTTTTTGTCTTTTTACAGAATCTCAAAAAGGCTTTTAGGCAAATATAATTAAAGGTGTGGTTCACTGAAAAAACATTTTCAATGAGTATTTCTGATCCTAACTGGTCACTCTGAGTGTTTAATGCAGGCTAAACATGAAAATAGTCTCCTACACCTATCTCCTGCAGTAGCTTCTGATAGAAAACAGACGGTCAAACTCTAGGATTAGAAAATCCTGACAGATCTACGTCACTAACATTCATGGACTCACCCGTCTGGACTCACGACGGGGAAGGCTGTTGTTGGTTTAGCGTCCAGGAAAGAGCAGAGAATGTCTCAGCTAGTAGAAGCTAACTGTTAGCATTAGCAACTCCATCACACAGCAGAACTCCTTCAGGTTTGTGTTATTGGTGGAGATAAAACGCCAGCATTGCAGAGCAGTAGTAGAGTGAATTTTTCTAAGTAAAATCTCTGAAAAGGAACAACAGATATTTCGGGGGTTAAAACCCTTCATAGAAGGTGTGTGTGATTAATGTGTGTGTTAATACGGATGTGAAATCACTTCATGCAAAATAATTGTGGTAATCATTGAACGGTGATTAGTCTCAGAATATAGTCGCACCACCAACAGCCCTAATTAGGCATTAATAAACAAAGGATCCCTGTATTTATAAAGAAATGTTTTTATTGTGCTTGTGAAGAACCTTGTGAATTTTATTCCTATATAAACTTCTGCTTACTCCAACAAAATATTCTCAGGTACAATAAAAAGTGTATAAAAAAGGTCAGTCAGACTAAAAGGTCTCAGAATAAAAAGGCCTAAAGAAAAACTCAGTCACAAATTAAATGCTTTCATAGAAACTCAGCGCCACAATTGCTGCCATGACTCCTTTTTTTCCTTTCACAGAACAGCAAGGGACTTCGAAATAATTAATTCATTGTTGGTAATTGGTATCAGTCTGGAAATTCTGTGAAACATGAGATTTCTCACTTTAATCCCATGTATATTCAATACCATCTACACATATGCTAATAAAATCCAAACAATTCAAGTGATGAAAGACAGACTAGAGAAACTGATGACTAATTATGCTTTGGGGAATTATTGCAGAATAGGCTGCAGGGGCATTTGGGGTGAGTTTGTTGTCACACATACCCATCGTCTAACATACTTCCATCCAGCAAAGAAAAGCACTCGAAGAAACAGAGAATGACACGGCACATACACAATTAAAAATGTACAAATAAAGTCAGCTAACATAAAAACACCATGACAAGTATTTGGACTGAAAAGAGGTCATTATCACAACAAAGCTGAATGAAAGAAGCTTCTCACCTCCTGCTCCAGGTCCATGGCACACAGTTTGGCAGCCTGTGCCTTGGCGTCTACCATGACATTAAACATGGTGCAGATGGACTGTGGCACACGGAAGTCTGTGGTCCGACTGCTCCTCTGAAGTTTAACTTCAAACGCAGCTCGTGTCCTTTCAAAACAAACATGTCCAAAAGTAAAGCCATTTTAAAAGAACGTTAATCTAAAATCACATTCTCAATTTAATGAAGATTAAAGGTGAACTATGTAAGAATTAAGTAACAGTGACATCCTGTGGTCAGACTTAGTTACTGCAGTTTCAGTTTCTGTGGGTTGCCATGTGGTGATAGGAAATTGAAGTTTATATGTTTTAACAACCAAGAAATACTGACTGTGATTCCGTTATTATAAACTACTTAAATAAACAATAAACATTATCATACCAAGTTTATTTCTTTAGCACATGTTAAAACAGCATGACAGCTGACCAAAGTGATGAGCAAAGATACAATAAGAAAAAAGAACAGCATAAAAAAATCACACAGTGAAATACAATTATAAAATAAGTGTTTAAATCAAGATTATATAATATAATCATATATAATACTGTAATATATGATATAGTAATATGTAATATAGTAATAAAGTAATATATAATATAGTCATACATATTAGTCACACATATATAGTAATTTATAATATTTTCATATATAACATGGTCATATATATTATAGTCATTTACAATATACTCATATACAATATAGTCATATATAATATAGTCATATATATCATATAAAATATAGTCATATATAACATAGCAATATATATTATAGTAATATATAATTTAGTAATATATATTATAGTCATATACAATATAGTCATATACAATATAGTGTAACGTGAGGAAATATGGGTTTTTCTGTGTCAAAGGTTTTAATTGCCCGGCTGGGTCAAGAGCTGGGTCGCTTAGAACTTTCACCCACAGATTAAGACCTGAAAGCCAGCAAGTCTGGGAGAAACCACAACATCTAACACCTGCAGTGCCAGAAGATGGAGTTCTCATGAAATCTAGTCATAACAAAACAAAGTCTTAAACTTCCTTTTCATTATATTCAGTGTTGAATAATCATTTTATCATTTTGCTCATTATAAATGTGTTTTAATCAAATGAATGATTATTATGCTTTGGGTAATCCTAATGAACTATAATGAATCAATACTTAATTAAATAATGTTTGAAGATGTTATAATGACCTTCACACACACACACACTCTCACAGTAAACTCCCAAAACACATTTGCTCTGACGCACAAGTTTGCTTTGGGAAGAGAACTGGGTTTTTGGTAAGTCATTCAGTTCGAGTTTGACAACGAGAGAGAGCGGACGTGCTGGACAAACACCACGGGGAAGGGAGCTGCCGGCTCCTGTCCCCCCCCCACGTTATTCCTGTCAAGCCAGACAGAATAGCTGAAATGCAACCGCTAACGCAGACTCGTCCAGAGTCTTTGATTTCTGAGTAATTTAAACTTAAGAAAGCGCATCTGCTAAACGCTTCATCAACGTGTACCGAGGTCAACTCTGGACCGGGTCGTCAGTACACCTTCGTCTTCTCTGCCAGCCAAGGTGTCCCCTGGATCTGAAAGGGGGTCCTCGTACGGTGAGGCAGTACACGACAGATAGTGTTTGATGCATCTTTTCTAATAAGAACTAAGTTTAATTCAAACCATCATTGTTCACTCAGACACCTGTTTCTTCCTGAAGCAAAATCAGATACCTGCACACACACATTCATATCACATCATTCTCAAATCTTCACACATTCAACACAAGGTCTATTTGTGCAAGCTTAAAATATCAACTGTTAAAGATTGTCCAACAAGGTTGCCAATGTTGATTATTTTTCCTATGCTTGTCATTTCAAATCATTAGTTAAAATTAAAGAATTAAAATTCTTAACTTTCAAACTTGTCTCTTCATTGAACTGAAACACAGACACACGGATATGATCGTCAGTTTATCGATGAAAACAACCTTTGAGTCTTCTTATTTCTATAAAATTTGGTTATTAATTTATTAAAAATTAATATATCAAATTAATATGTAGAATGGTTCCTCTTTCATAAAAGAGCCATAAACCATTACATTAGAATAGTCATGCATAATATAGTAATTTATATTATAGTCAAATATAATATAGTCATAGCTAAAATAGTCATGTAATATATAGTCATATATAACATTGTAATACATAATATAATATTATAAAATATTGTAATATATAATAGAGTCACATATAATATTGTAATACATAATGTAAACATATATAATATAGTAATACATAATATTCTAATATATAATATAGTCACATATTATATAATCATATATAATAATGTAATATATAATATTGTAATATATAATAATTTGTAATATTGTCATATATAATATAGTAATGATACGTGATCCGCACTTGTATAGCGCCTCTCAGAGTAAGGACTCCAAAGTGCTTTACAGTACAGTGTATCATTCATCCATTCACACACTGATGGTGATGAGCTACAATGTAGCCACAGCTGCCCTGGGGCGCACTGACAGAGGCGAGGCTGCCAAGCACAGGTGCCACCGGTCCCTCCGACCACCACGAGCAGGCAAGGTGGTTTAAGTGCCTTGCCCAAGGACACAACAGCAGAATTCTCTGTCCGGAGCCGGGATCGAACCTGCAACCTTCTGATTACTGGACAACCCGCTCAACCTGTGGAGCTACTGCAGCCCCAAATATATATATATATATATATATATATATATATATATATATATATATATATATATATATATATATATATATATATATATATATATATATCATATAGTCATATATAATACAGTCATATATTGTATATTAATATATAATATAGTCATATATAATACAGTCATATGTAATCTAGTAATATGTAATATAGTCATATATAGTATACTAATATATAATATAGTCATATATCATATAGTCACATATCGTATAGTCATATATCATATAGTAATATTTAATAAAGTCATATATCATATAGTAATATATTATAAAGTCATATGTAATATAGTAATATATAATATAGTCATATATCATATAGTAAAATATAATAAAGTCATATATCATATAGTAATATATTATAAAGTCATATGTAATATAGTAATATATAATATAGTCATATATCATATAGTAATATATAATATAGTCATATATAATACAGTCATATACAAAATAGTAATATATAATATAGTCAAATATGGTATATTAAAATATAATATAGTCATATATCGTATAGTAATATATAATAAAGTCATATAATATAGTCATGTATAATATTGTAATATATAAGATAGTCATCATACAGTAATATATAATGTAGTAAAATATAATATTCTAATATAGAATATAATAATATTGTAATATAGTAATACATAATATAGTCATACATCATATAGTAATATATTATAAAGTCATATGTAATATAGTAATATATAATATAGTCATATATCATATAGTAATATATAATAAAGTCATATATCATATAGTAATATATTATAAAGTCATATGTAATATAGTAATATATAATATAGTCATATATCATATAGTAATATATAATATAGTAATCATGTATAATATTTTAATATATAAGATAGTCATCATACAGTAATATATAATATAGTAAAATATAATATTCTAATATATAATATAATAATATTGTAATATAGTCATACATCATATAGTAATATATAATTTAGTCATATATAATATAGTAATATATAATATAGTGGAGAAAAACTATGGCAACGTTAGAATCACAAACCTAACAATGTATGTACCTGTATGTTTTACATCAGAACATGGTGATAATGTATATAATGAATATAGAAGGAATGGTTTCACTTGGAGAATCACAACAGAAATAAAACATGCTGTAAAAATAACTGTGTACAAAAAAAAGGATAAAAATAAAACTTCATTAGATCAGAAGTCCGTATTTTGCTAATTTGGTAATCAATTTCCCTCTGGGATTAATAAAGTATATTTGAATTGAATTGAAATGTAGTGTGAGGAGCTGAAAGGGGAACTAAATCTCCATGTTGGCCTGGAGACCCCAATATCCCGTCATAGAAGCTGACAGTAGTTCCCACGATGAAGGAGGTGTATTCTATGGATGGACGACTGCTTCCCCAGCACGAATATCCACCAATCAGTGGAGGATGGGTGGAGTCTGCAGGTGTGGCAAGTTATGAATATTAAAGTGACGTCTATATGTAGGTAACACGGCCAGTAATTCTATCTTAAATCATTTAGACACATTTCATGGTGTAAACTTCACTTACAGCACCTCTTGCGCTGAAGTGCTATTGGTGAGGCTAGCCTCCTGGGGTCATCAGGTCATCTAAAAGCTCCAAAGCTCTTCACCTTCATTTAGAGGAAACATCTGTTGACAAAATGTTCACTCTATCATTCTGCTGCTATAGAAATGAACACATGCATCTGTGATAAGTGATAAGTGCAGCTGATACGATTGCCAGGTTTCAATAAGCTAAAAAATAATTTAGATGTGAGATAAATGTACATATGTATGCTTTAACATACAAATAATGTACAACTATCAATTGATATCAACTTCCATACTATTGAGGTTCTTTTTTTAAATGTTTTTCTAATTTTTATTCACCCTGTGTCTTATTGATTTTTAGCTGTTAGTTTTTGGGAATTTTGTTGTATTTCCTTTTTATCTTTTATCTGTGTTCGACATGTTTGTATACCGCCGGTTTGATTAACTAACATCTTTAGTGTACAGCGCCTTGTTTGGTTGTAATGCCTTGTGAATGCGCTTTATAAATAATATTGGATTGGATTGGATTGATAAGAGGTTTTAAAAATATACAATAACTCACTATCAGTAAATGTGAGCATATGGATGATATTAGAGCTAGTCTGCAGTTGGGTGTGACCCAGAAGAACAAATTCAGGCTTTTGTTTCTGTCAGCCAGAGAAGCGAGTTTTTGTATGAACCTCCATCAGCTCCTTCAGCCATTAGCATTCCAGTTTAGCTATTAGCACAGCTAGCATGTCCTTTGTTGTGCTTATCCAGACACCGTTGAAGTTATTTACATGTTCACCCCCAAGATGTGCTGGTGAA